GAAAGAGCATCATCACAAGTCGGTTCGAGTTGATGATATTTCGAAATATCATCAACTCGAACCGACTTGACCACGTAGCTCAGTTGACCTGAGAGCATTGGACTAATATCCCAAAGGTCGCGGATTCGATTCCCACCGTACGTGGTCAAGCTAACTTTTCAGCTTGCCCGGTGTGGATGCACACTCAGAGTAACATCACAAACATCATAATTTCGGAAGTGTTTAACAATTTACTCATATGGTAAATTCAAAGGTGGAGCTCATATGAGCTGGAGAGTCAAGACAACTAGCTTTTTCACAGTTCTATCATATAATTTATTTCGAAGTTTATAATACACTAAAGGCGGTAAATTATAGTAAATTATACGTTTTGATTTTTGAAGCATTTTGTGTAAGAAATGTTTAAGGGAACCGACACAACGTACTTTTCTTACAAATCCTTCAAGTCGTACAATTTACCTATGCAAAATTGCTATTGTGATCACAGAAATAATCTCAAGCTGCCCGTGCCAGTGTGGCTAGTGCCAATAATATAAACAAGCTTTCGTTAACTGGTAGGGATGCAACTACCTGAACAATATAAGGAGAATTTCGACGTTGGGCCTTCGACGCTCATTTTCTCCACAAATTTGCTGAAACTAAATATCGGTCTTGGAGTAAACTGGCGTGGACATGCCGACCCTGTCCACGTCCTGGCTGCTGTTAAGACTGAGAGGTTTCGAAGTAGGTTCGAATTAAATAACGTTTATTTTGGTATAACCGGGAAACGGACGTGAAGAAAATGGCGGAATGAACGTCGCAGGACTTGGGATGTCTTGGACGGGAAACTCGTGTATGACGGCCCGTCTGATGGAATGGACCTATCCCCTAATAAACAAGATTTTGATCTAGACAAGTCTAGACAAACATTTCATCACAGCTTGAAAGAGCATCACAAAATTAGTAATATTCCGAAGTTTCGTTGCGAAATATTGTAAAATGCGGATAATATAGCCCTGCGAAATTTGCCGTTTTTCAGTCATTTTGTATTACGCACGGAAAATTGATACCGCTTTCTGAAAAAAGGTATGTTTCCAATGTTTCCGGATTTATTTTAGATGAGTTTCCCGTTTGTAATGTGAATTCTGCTATTGACAATACACCCTTTCGATAATTACGTCGCAACTACACTGTCTTCAACTTAGGACCACCTTAAATGGAAAGGATTTCAAGTGTTTTTTTCTCATGGGCTATGCAAAGAGAAGCAGGACATCTTTCTTCAACACATTCGCGGAAAAATATTCTGGATTTTGATCAATAAATATGGAAATAAAAAAAAAGTAAACGAGGCTCCAGGTCATGACCTGGAGCCTCGTTTTCGTGTTAAAGCTTATTTCCATATTTATTGGTCAAAATAAAGAATAATTTTTCGCGCATGTGTTGAAGAAGGATGTTCTTCTTATCTGCGGAAAATTTTTTTATATATGTCCAGAAATTGTTTTTGTGTTGATTTCTCTCTCTCTCCTCCCCCTCTCCCTCTCCCGCCGGGTGGCCAACAATTTTGTGGAAAGAAATATTAATTAGTGGTTGAAAAGTTAGATATTTTCAGGTAAAATTATGAACTATAGGTTAAAATCAGGTAGATTTTTGTTGCTCATTCCCCCATTTATAATAAATATATTCAGACTGACAGCAGTTTACAATTAGTTGCAATAAATTGCTAAAAATACTGATTTATATCCAGTTTTTCAAATGGATGAAATAGTTTCCTTGAGTTACATTATTTATGAGTTACGTTATATTTGCATATAACATTTGATGAAAAAACTTTCTTCGCCTTATAATCTGATCAATTTTTTTCAAGTACGTCATTAATAAATTATAGCATAAATTGTCATGCAGTTTCAAAAACAATACATATTTATATAGCTTGTGAGTTTTTCACATGCGAGGACCTCGATCAAATTGAAATTGTTCTTTATCGTGTAATTTCGAAGCCATGCTCATATATTCTACCTGTGGCTATACATTCAAGGTGTCCCAAAAACTAATTAATTAAGAAATGCAATGAGCTAGCTGTGTTCCAGTTTATACACGGCTAATTATTAGCAGGCAGAAAACAA